TAATATCTCTTTTTCACAGAAAACATTTTTCCATAGCCAAGCAAGATGTCAACAATCCATGAATTATGGATTTTCAAAAATTATGTTTTTATATCTTGAATAAGACTCATACATTATAGCACCTGGTTGAAGATCATATATTGTTGAATTACAATTTACATTATTCCTCACCCTTTACTATGATGCATAAGACTGATGGGGCTTGTCCTCCAGATATATATCTGGAGGACAACACATTCCCCACCCACTTAGACTAGCGGTGGTGATTTTCGGAACTTTAAAACTTCATGCCCCCCATCTTACTGTCCCCATTGGCTTGCTAAAACAGCCTAAGGAAGCCTAGGAACCCTATTGGTTTTGTGGGGAGAGGAGTAGGAATTTTCATCATTAAAATGTGAACATAGCTTGTGAGGTTATGAGACTTATGCAGCATAACTTTATGACACTGAATTTCAGCCAGTATTCAAAGATACCAATTTGGGATTGGACTTGTCAGACATAATTTAGGGCTAATCAACTATGCAGATTTGTTGTGCTTTGGCCAAGGGACCATTGAACAAGCATTTGATACTGCAACAGGTTCTACAGTTTCAGCAACTGTGGATGCTGTTTTGCACAGGCAGCTCCTGATTCAGCAGAGATGGAGTCATCTCAAAAGTTCTCATTTCCAGAGCAGTATGATGTGTATAGTTTGTACTGATTCACAACTCGTTTTGTTGTTTCTTCAAAATTAAATCTTCTTTATGTGTAGTTTTGTGTACTCTGGTGCAACATTCTTCCACAGAGAATTACTGCAAATACACTGGCAAGCCAAATCGGAGCAATTTAGCTTTGCTGCAGTTTGATTCGCAGCCTATTTAATGCTCCTGTTAGGATTAGTGACCACAACGAGACTGTGGATTGTTTTGGTGCAAGTGTTCACACCAGCCCCTCAATCTGGTGCAAGATTTAATCCTTACCAAACCCTACAACCCCCTTCTTTTGATTTCACCCTTTGCCAATCCTCAGCTCTTCTTTTATAGTTCATTGTAAAACCTGTGGGCTGTTTTCAATTGCTGCACCTCCATAAGAAGAATGGATGGTTTTCCAAAGTTCTACATAAGGTACAACACATACAAACACATACCGTATTTTTTGCTCCATAAGACGCACTTTCCCCCCTAAAAAAGTGTGTGGGGGGGAAGTCTGTGCATCTTATGGAGAGAAGCTGGCGATTTCACCCCCACTGGCCCCGTGGGGGGAGCCTCGCAAGGATCCAAGGGAGCCTTCCAGGACCCTTGCAAGGCTTCCCCCAAAGCGGGGGCAAAATCGCTACCTTCTAGGACCTTTTCTGAGCCTTTCCAGACAAGACGGACCTCTCCATAAGGTTCACCAAATTTTTAGGAGAAGAAAACAGATTTTTATTTTCCTGTTTTCTTCTCCTAAAAATTTGGTGCGTCTTATGGAGAGGTGCGTCTTATGGAGCAAAAAATATGGTAATAGTCTGCTGTTAGAGTTGTCTATTTCACATAGATTTTTATCTTTTTTTGGCTATGCAGTATAAATTAGTATAAGGTAAAGGTAAGGCAGGCCTTCCCTCCTGTCAATACTTGACTTTTATTTCTTACTTAGTCTTTTGTTTATATTTTCCCATCTTGATTAATACTTTATTGTCAATTTAATTGTTGTCTTAACTGTTTTATGAATAATTTTATTACAAGCCGCCCTGAGAAGACATTGTCTAGAAGGATGGGATAAAAATCTAATAAATAAAATAAAATAAAATAAATAAATGTTCCCCTTGACCATTAGTCCAGTTGTGTCCAACTCTAGGAGGCGGTGCTCATCCCCGTTTCCAAGCCGTAGAGCCCGCCTTTGTCCGTAGACAGTTTCCATGGTCATGTGGCCAGCGCGACTAGATGCAGTAATAAGGTGACCTATAACTAAACTTGTTTTTTGTTTGTTTTTAATTTAAAATACCTTGTGGCAACTAGGGAGAAAGATCATGGGGTTGAGTGTTCCTCCTATCCAAAGTGGCATGCCCTGCTTAGTACACCACCAAAATATCATCCACAATCACTCATTCATATATACACAAACATCCTTTTGGAAAATGAAACAACCATTCACATAAGGGGGGAGTCAATTTGAATCATTCTGCTTGAAAAAAGTAGGAGCCCACCCCCACGCCCCGCATGGTAGGAAAAACAATTGCAGTTAGGAACAAAGAGGTCTGGATTAATTCAAATTGGCCTTTGCAGCATGTGATTAGTAGGAAAAAAGTGAATGTATTCATTTTATACCTTCAGCAAATCCCATAGTAGTCACAGCCTAAATCTAATACTAACATTCCTCTACTTTTCTTAGGTGCAGTTTAAAATCAGTGTAGATAATTTTAATATTTAATAATATTCACGTCTTTAAGAATTTCCATTTCTAGAGGCACTATCAGAGCTTTGAGGAGAAACAGATTAAAAATCAAAACTCTCCTTACCTTCATTGTCCTGGATTGGCCTGGCATCTGTAAAGAAGTAAAAGGTTTACCACCACTGTATCTCTAATGAGGAAAAACCGTGTAGCTTACAGCTGGTCTATCACCGACAAACTAGCAGTCAAGGTTCTAATAGTTAAAACAGCTAAGAACATTGTAATTCTGTTTCTGCACAACCCCTTATATGTCATCATAATTTATGCTATTGAGAGAACTAAATATTAATTGTTTTCAGATGTTTTATATTATTTAGGGCATGCACCAGTCAACAGCTAGAGCAATTGATAGGTAAGAAAAATCTATTAAAAGAAGATAATGTGTTTGATACAATTCATACCTGTGCATCTCTTCACCAGCATTAAGAAGCAAATCATGCCCACAAAGAGAAGCTTCATCTTTCCTGTTTCTGAAGAATTGTGTCTGTAAATGAAAAATAGCAAAACATAGCAAAAAACAATTGAACTTGCTCATTTATTAATAGATATATATGTAATTCTGTTCTTCTGTTGTTTTCTTTTCCCCCCAAGTTTTGTTCTTTTTTTTCAAACATTATATCTGATAGCAAAAAAACACTTACAATTGATGGTTGAGTTTTAACTTCACTTTAGAGATTACCTTTCTCCTCTTTCTTTTAAATCTACAGAGGTCTGTAGCTCTTAGTCAGCTGCAAACTCCTGAATGAGCTTCTATTGCTGCAAAATAGATGCACTGTTCAAAACAGACTGGACGTGAGTTTTGTAAGGGGAGGAACGTTACCTACTTAGCACACCGATCTACATTTTTCATCCAAATCTTGAATTATTTACAGTGTGAACGCTAGTCAGTTTATTAGCAAATCATGCACGTGGGTGAGAGGGGGGACAGAAAGGCTGCTACTTTGCTAATGCAAGATTACAAATTCCACATTTTTTTTGCCACTGCAGTTATATGACATTCAGAAGCCAACTACACATGCTTTTAATATCTTGTATCATTAACCAGCATCCTTGGAAATTAGCTAAATAACCTCTGTGAATAAGAGACTGCTCGGAAAAGAATATTAGTCGATTTTTGGTTCATCCATGTCACAAGTCATTTTAGGCCAAATATAAATTAAAATCATCATACTTTTGTTGAAGCTCATGACATCAATGAAGCCCTCTGGGTTTTTTTTTTTAACTTTTGTAGAAGCCTACCTGTTGCAAGACTAGCAAGATCAGGTTTATAAATCATCCCAAAACCTAGCAGTGTGGTTTAATTTGGCTATGGATTGGGTTGACTGAATGTTCAATTTATTATTCATAAAAGCAGGTCTTTTTAGCCAGAAGCTTTTTTTAAAAAAACCCACTGGCGGCATAGATTGCTTTTGAACTATGTAGCCGTAAGTATAGTTAATTTGCTGCTGTCGCTTCAGGAGCTAGAAAATACTTGAAACGTGCTGTTCCTTCTGTACGCTGTAAGGAGCAAGAGAGCTCCTCTGGTGCTCTTCAGTCGAGCAGAAGGAAGGCTACAAAGGAAATGGATGGGATTTTGCTGCTTCTCTGAAGATCATTTATTCCTACGGACAAATCACAAAGACAACAGAGGGTAAAACTGAACAATAAGCTTAGAATATTTTTCAAGGTATGCTCCCAGGTGTCGAAACATCTCCCTCTGCAACATAACAGTTTATAGACATTATTCTAGAAGATTTTCAAAGACTCTGAATGTGACTAGATGGCCAAATTGTCTCAGGCTGGATAGGGACAGATCATTCTAAACAGGGCTGTTTGGAGGTCTGGTGTGTCATTTAGGGTACTCCTTGTATCTACATGCAAGGATAGGGTTGTTTGGGGGCAAGAAATCACGCCACACCTCAAGTGACCCTATTTAGCCCATTTCTCTGTTTAGAGCAAAAGAAAAAAAAACCCACCTAAATTATTCCCCTCTTTGTTGCCTCCCGTCTCCTCCTCCATAGGGAAATAAGAAGACGCTTTCAAATAAAAATCAAAATACAGTAGTATAGTGCGGAATTGGCTTGCCGATCAAGCAATTCAGCACTGGATTAGAAGGCCTTTAAACAAATACAATATTCCACCCACATGCCAAAACTGAACCAAAACAAAACTATCCTACTCACACCAAAAAAAAGAAAGTAGCCCTGACAGGCACCCAAAAAGGTGTGAGTAGGCAAGGATAAGGGTCAGGCTGGTTTATGATTGGCTGTATGCCATGTGATCTCCAGAAAAAGGAATAAATCAGTCTGTCCCCAAAGTGGACCAAACTGTAGGATGAAGACCATCTGACCACACCTCTTGCTCAGGTGATAGCAATTACTCCCATTCCAGGCTTTAGGACAAGCTGATCAAAGAAATGGCAAGAGCTCTATACAAATGCATCTGAAAGCACACTTCAAAATTCTCATGTAGTACCTAACTCAGTGGTTCCCAACCTTGGGTCCCCATATGTTCTTGGACTACAACTGCCAGAAATCCTAGCCAGTACAACTATTGGTGAAGGCTTCTGGGAGTTTTAGTCTAAGAACATCAGGGGACCCATGATTGGGAACCACTGCCATAAACAGAAATTCAATGCTGAAGAATTCAAGAATCTTCAGAATTCCTTACTGCTCTCCAAAGTTGCCTCATACTGTGCTGAGAACATCAAGAAGAAGAAGCCTTTCTTATCAGCTGATGAGTATAACTTGGATATGAATATTGATGTGGAATATAGAAAAATGAAATAAAACAAAACATGCTGCTAGTAATAGATTCCCAATGGAGTATGTCATACTGGTGCTAAACGATCCAGCCTCTTCATTTATATTAGGAGATCTTCAAGTGCCAAAGAGCTTTCCAAATGTCTCACATGTTCTGCTGGCAGACAATACAGAGTTAGTCATCCTTGATCCCCATATCAATTTCAAATATCCCTCCCTCGGAGCTCTTTCATTGATTCTTGACCCAGATTCATGCCTTCAGCTCAACTTGCAGCCCAAACTAATTTTCTTGTTACTATTCACACAATGTACTGAGCTTGACAGAAAACATCTGGTGTTATGCCGCATCCTAGAGCACAAGGAACTGCATTAGTTTTGTTATCTTTCTTTTTAATTAACCTGCACATCCCAGGATGAATTCCAAATACTTGAGGACACAGGACTTAGTCAAGTGCCAAGGTTTATAACGTCATCTCACATTCTACCATCTGGGAATATTTTTTCTTCCTCACAACATCACTGAAAGCATGATAAAAATGCATGTGGATCATGTTTTTATAGTTAACTTTTATTGACAATAGAGAAATATTGCATATGTTCAGAACAATATATGTATGCTGAGTAGGAAGTACTCTTGCTTCTGAGAATACAAATGTTTTTGAACCTTGGATGTGTTGTATTATATTACTATTCAAAACTACAACTTCTTTGGTAAATACAGGCATACATCAGCTGTATGCACTAAAAGCAAGAATCTACAATGTAGGAAGAGTTTTCATTGTTTGCTTTATTTATCATTGTTTAGCTCTGAGTGTTTTTTGACTGTAAACTTCTATTGTGACACCAGTGGTGGTAACCAAATATATAAGGGATTGCTTAACTAAAGTTTAATGTCTTCTGTTGATACTAAGGAGACCCACTAAATCAAATAACATCAACACATTTTGTACTACTTTAAAAATCAATCTAGTTTGAATGTAGAGGGCATCATATAGTGGGTTCTAGTAACTCTGTTGGTTGAATTACTGTATATTGTTTACTATGGGTGTCCATCATGCATTCTGCCCTGTGAGATAAGCTGATACTTTCTGATTCAGTTCTTATCTTTTGCAAAATCCATGACTTGGTGGGCAAATATTAGAAATGGTTTCAGATTTGCTCTTGCTGTAACTAACAAATGTTTCCTGGGTGTATGGTAATGTAACTTCTAGCTCCATTAATCATGACACACCATTAAGAGACAACTTCTGCTCATCTTTTCACTACTTTGTAATTATAATTAAATGTGTCCATACATGTTTGATGTGTCTCTCCAGAAGACTGCAGGAAACAAATTCCTTAATGCTGATAAAGCAGAAGTACCTGCTCATATTACCTAATCTGGAGGAATTTACTATTACCACTCCAATGTACCCATAAAATCCACTGGCTTACCCTATTGCATTGTGAGTAAAGGCATAGTGACATATCTTATCCAATTCTGCCAGATTTGCAGGTGGCAAATTGTGGAAGGGCATTTCATTAACTTTGAGATGAGCAAAAGGTAAACAAACTGTTTAGGGGGGAAAAGCAGGGAATGCTGAATACTTAGTTAGTTTTTATGCAGTGCACTAAGCAGTGATTTTGAGAATTCTCTGGAGACAGGTAAGATAAAAGTGATTGAGGTTTCTTGCATGTTATTGATAGATAGTCCAAGTCTTCACTCAGTAACGTAGACAGGATACAGCAACAGCTTTGTACACTTGTAGTATAATGGGAAGATTGATTCTGCATTGGTTCCATGCAGAAGATCGAGGTCTTCCACAAGATTAAACCTAGATTTGTGTACAAGTGTGCTGAAGACCATCATGGAGGTACCCTCATGACCAGCTTCCCATTGAGGATGAAAGCGAACAAAGGAACAAACAATTTCCTTTAAAAAGGTGGAAGTGATTTGAGGAGGAAATGACCTGAGGAGGAAATGAGTAATCTGCAACTAGTGAAAACCAAGACAGGTCAAGATGTCCAATCCCACCTGGCTGTCTATCTATACCTCACCTTCCCTAGTGACTTTTTAACAGGGGCAACCTGGGCAACAGCCACAGGTAGGACAAGACTGCAAGACAGTATGGATGTGGAGAAGGTCTTCATATTTGTTTTGCTGAGAAAGCATCATCCACTGTATGCTAGTAAAGTCCTTCATTCTTTTTCTTCCTTGTTCCCAACTACTTGGAGAAAAATGTGCTTCCTGAATCTATTTGCCAGGTGAGATCAGTACAAAAGGCCCTTTCCCCCTATATAGAATCACAGTTTCAATCCTCATGTTGGAATTAGACATCATAGCAGGCATGGAGGCTGGCATTAAAGACAACATCACTTTGATTTGTTTAATCTCCTTCTCTTTGTTTGCAAGACATAGGGGCGCTATGGCAAGGGACAACCAAGGCAATGGGGCATGGGTGGTAAAGTATAATGACAACTGATCAGATGTTGACCGTTTTTGGAGGAGAAGCTGTGGCACCTCAAAGATGAACAAATCACTTATGGCAAATACTTTTATCCAAGTAGACAGGGACCACATAAGAGTGGTTGTAACAGATGTGTTGGCTTTTTAAGGTGCAGAACTTTTGTTGTTCATCATTATCTGTTGATTAGATCTTAAGAAAAGGGTGAGACTTGAAGTTGATGGCTTGCACCAACAATTTTCAGAAGCAAGAGTGTTTCTACTTAGCACACAACATACTGTTCTGAGCAGATGGGTTATTTCTCCGGGCAGCATGATAAGTGGACAGAGATTACAGAAGCTGATGTAATGCAACATCTGGAGGATACCAGCATGTGAGTGACCGATATCTAACAAAACATTTATGTCCAAAGCAAACAGGATAGCATCACAAACCTGTGGCACAAGAAAGGGCTGCCTAGCAATGCCAGAAATCCAGTATTAGAGCATTCCTAACAAATGGAAACTTTTAGCAAGGGGGAATCTCACTATCTCCCTAAT